TTTTGACCTCAACCATCAACTTCGTCATCCTCAAGTGGGATTTCCTCCTCGGCGTCTTCCAGCTGCTCTAGCTGGCCGTCATCCTCACACTCCGCTGCCTCAGCGGCACCAGCAGGTTTCAGCTTCTCAAGCGCAGCCTTGATCATGTTTTCCTGCTAATCAGACGCAGAGGTCAGAAGTGGTCAGTCTAGCTACAAAAAAACTAGGCCTCATACAGTTGCCACCTCTAGGTTCTAGAGACGTTCATCAATCAGGATGACCATGTGGATATGAAATGCCATTATCTTCACGGGGAACTCAACGTGGTACATGGGCCTTCAAACTTTCAGCTGCGGCCACATCGCCCGTGGTTCTTCTCAGCTCATCGCGGATGGCCACCTGAGCCAAGAAGAGGTGAGAACATGTGAGAACCCTAAAGAAAAGTTAAAACATATGAAGATGTATGAGTGGTTACCACAGTTCTCAGGATTTCAGTTAGGGGTCCAGTCCCGCATATAAACGCAGGATAGTGCAGAAATCATCAGAAATCCCTTCAATCTCCTCTCAGCCAGTAGTTTTGTCCCAGTGGCTGCAATCTCTTCACGGGTCTCGTCAGAAAGGCCCTCGCTTTCATTTGCTCGGAACTCAGCCAGCAATGGCGCAGGTGAAAGTTGAAAGAACGCATGAATAGGTTTCTTTGAAAGAAGTGTGGAGTTGTGTCCCGGTCAAATAGGTGCAAGCTAGCTACGTACATCACCTCGCTATCTCCAACCACAAATCCATAGCGCTTCGACTCCTTGTAGAAGTTCTTCCTAATACGTGTAGGTTTTGAAGCGTCGCCATCGGTCTTTGAGGCCGGCTTCTTCTGGACCGCTGGCTTCTTCGCTGGTGGCCCGGCTGGCTCAAGAGGGAGAGCTGGCTCGGACAGGGGAGAAGCGGCAGGTCGTTTCAAGACCTTTGGTTCTTTCGCCTTTGGTTCTTTCGCCTTTGGTTTCGCTTTGGGTTTCGATTTGGGCGTTGGACCAGACGTGGGTACAATCCCAGGGGCAGGCGCAGGGGGCCTGCCACCCTCATCAGACAACTCATCTACCGATTGCAACACCATGGCGCCAACGATGTTGAGAAACCCATGCATTCCGCACAATCTTGATCACACGTGCTCTAAGTGTTACATCAACCATGAATACTGCATTCACAAGCGGAAGAATGCTCTGACAAAGTCCATGATGCACGGTTTGCAAAGAAGCGTTTTCTTGGGTTCGCTGAGTTTGTCAAACGGTCAAAGGCCAAAACTACGCATGGCACCCACAAGGCGCAGGCATTGGGCTTCCCAGGGTCTTTTAGGGCAATATGGCAATCACCAAACCATACCAAACCTATTGTATGGTGGCGAATGTACTGGGGTGCAAAAGGTAGCCCTCTAAGCCAAGCCTTGTTCTCACACAAAAGCCATTGATTCTCAATGGCCGCCCAAAAAAAACTACTTTAGTTTCACAGCCTGACCAGCTCCTATGGTCACAGTGCCAAGTAGGAAGAACTTGGGCTTGAGCGGGGTCGCCAAGGCTGGGACCTGTTCACCGACGGAGACCTGTGCAGCGGGGCACGGTGCCCAAAGAGAGGTGGGAAAATTATGAAAATTTTCCAGGTAGTTCTTTGTTGAGCAATAGGGATCCTTCATGCTGGCGGCGGTGGCCCTTGAACACTGTTCAGCGAAGAACACACATTGCAAGATCATTGACAGATTACTACCCTGCCTCCCAAACAATGTTGCACCAGTCGCACGTTGGGATCTGATTGTACTTGTTGTGGAAAACGGCTCCAAGCTGAGCTGCGCGAAGATTGCTCTTGTCAACGCTCCCCTCCAACTCTTTTGGCTTGTACGAGTTCAGCTTGTCTTTGGCAGCGATCTTGAAGCGGTAATGCAAAGCACGCTGCTGGCCATCTGGCAAAACCTTCAATGCTTTTGGGTGCTCAAGCTCCAACACTTTGTTGAACACGTTGTGAACTGGAAAGGAAAGTAACAACCATTTTTTGGAAGACCTGGCCTTCATCAGTGGAGACATGTCATGGTCCACTAGCCGCACTTCTGTAATGCCACGCTCTCTTGTGATGGAGCACATGATCTCCGCAATTGAAGAGATTGTCTTAGTTGTGCTCCCACCCTCAGTCTTGACCAAGCACACCAGGGTCTTGTCATCATTCACGCACCACGGCAAGGTATCGGCTGCAGTGGCTGCTGTAGCTGCAGGGTCGGGCGATCAGGGTTCGGATGGATGAAAGGGACGCACTAAAAGCTAACTCAGGACTTATGAAGGTAGTTCTCCGGTGATTGATGCCCCTTCAACAATTTCAACAGTTTGCGAACATCATGCCTGAGGGGATTTCAACATAGCTGCCAACATTGAACCCGAAGAGTTCCCCACTGCCAAGATTGACAGAGCTGGCGGTCTTGTTGATCAGCCAGAGGTTTCCCAGCGTAGTGAGACACACTTGGATCGAAGGTTCCCGCGCCACATTTGCAGCTGCGTCCACCCTGGGACATGTTTGGAGCACACACACACACGCAAACACACACCCTAAAGGTTTGGCAAAGGTTTGGCAAAACCTTAAGAACAAAACCACACAAATGATGGCTTCAAATTTAGTGGAACATTTGGTTGATTCTTGGCCCAGCCACGAATTGCTACTCTCGAAGTCAGCAAGAGAAATGCAAGTGTGGGGCATCCTTTTCCGGTGGTTCCAAGGTTGCTCACCATGCCACTCAGGGGAAGCCGAAGTGCGGGGCCCCTCATTGTTAGAGGAGGTTGTGCTGGACTGGCCAAATCCCTTCAAGGCCTTGATCACCAGTGTCTCCTCCTCCAAGCGGTCATCCATTTTCTTCAGCAGGTCAGAATGGGAGTTCTTGAACTTGTCTTTGACGAGGTCTGGAATCCTGAGTTACTTTGAACAGGCTGTGGAAATATATATTTTGTACCTTCTTCCACAACCACCCCAAAGAAAAAGGGTTATCGAATTTTTCCAAGACTCACCACGCAAGATGAATCAGAACCAATGCTAAGGATTTCCAGGGATGGAGGTTCCTCCTGAAACCGTGTGGTTTCCCTGGCCTTGGGTCCTGCATCAGCGCATTGGTCCCACCATTGAGACATTACCCGGCCGACCATGCATTCACGCCAGGTTGCCAGATTGTGCGCATTGTCTTTGTCATAGACAGCCAGGAAGCGAACATCAAGACCATCGCCCGAGCCCAAGAGGGCTTCCTTCTGGAACTCCCAGCAAGCGGCAGACCATTCAGCAAATCTCAGGGTCAGGGAACAGAATTGGACTTTCAGAATGTGATGTTCAGCGAATATCCAATATTATAACATATTATAACATAATGAATTCTCAACAACCCCCCACAGACATTGCAAGTGCAAAACCAACAAATAACATCATATTGTATGATACGGTCAAGCAGAATACAAAAACATATCCTTGATGGCAAAAGATCCACCACAAGGAGTTGGGTAGTCTCACCAGAAGTCATGCCCTCCAAGAGCTGGGTGATTATTGATTTGGTGGCTGCCACTCCTCTCTGCTGCACCTTGCTTGGCCAGCAGAGTTGCATGGTGAACAATGAAGAATGCACCGTACGTTTTTTGTGGGAAATAGCTGGAAAGGTGAAAGCTTGCCGCATGTGTTTTCAAGGTGCCCTGAAGTGTGGTGCTAGCGGCTTATCTGGGTCAGGGTTGACCAGTTCGTTCACTCTGCTGCGCTCGATACCTGCTATGGATCCCATCAACGCGTGGCTCTTGACCCACGCAGACGCCGATGAGCCAGAGCCGCCACTGACAACCGCAGCCACACCTGTTTGAACATAAACTGAATGGGCTCAAAACTAGTCACCCTAGGTTGGGCAATAGAACAAAGGCGCTGAACATATACTGCGTGGATTCAAACATCTTTCTTGCGCATAATCACGAAATAACATGTGACATTACAAATTTGGGGTAAGGTGCACTGTTGGCTGAGTTTGCGCCGATCTCCGCCGTGTGCAGAATCAGCGAAGTTCAGCGCGATCTCATAGGTTTCCATACATCTTAGAGCGTTCAAGGTTAACAGCGTAAGCAACAAGTGGGACACAGGAACCGATGTTCTTGGCTAAGAAATTGAAAAGCATTGAAAAACACTTGCATCCGAGAAACGCATGCACCTTATCTTCAACCAATCTCCGGTTTTTGAGCACTGTGCACTTGCCAGTGCTGCTGTGCCACTGTGGAAGAAGAAAGAAGCAGAGAGTGCGCGGGTTTCCGGACGATACTGTCTGGCACACCTGCACTGCCTCGTCCAGTGCCAGTGCACCTCAATGAAAAATGTGAACTGTCGGTGGCCTTGTGGGCTGTTGGTTCTCAGAATTATGGACAACAAAGGCGCGGGATGGCCACAACGTAGCGTCGAACACCAGAACTGTGAGCCTTGGCTCACACTAGTCACTCATGTTGAACTACAGAAAACAATCGAACGCACACACAACCGAGCAACCCCTGGTTGTTATCGCAGCTTGCATTTCCACGATAGCGGCGTGTCCCATGACAAGGTTGTCAAAGGAATGGAGCCTATGTTTGTCATTGAGGAACGCATTCACACGCTCTGTACCTTTGGCACACCGGTCGCTGAGATACTTGAAGTCCATCATGGCCTGAATTCATGCTGGCCATGGACAGATGTGAAGACAGTACTCTTCCAACTTGAACGTTTTTTTCATGAGCCTGTTGTTGACTGAAAATGTCGTACTTCCGGGCCCATGCATTCATCTTTAGCAAATCAGCATCGAAGTTGAGCGCAGTTTGAGCCCAGGTAGCTTGCAAAAGCTGTTGCTGCAGCCTGAGGCCGGCTCTGGGCTGGGGGGCTCCCTCGCTGAAGGTTTGGCATGTGTTTTCATATGTGCTTGTATTATTTGATATTATTTGATAGCAAGTAGCTCTGCATGTCTCTTGGTGGTGGCACTGTCGACCTGGATCATGTTGAGCGTCGGGATAACAAACACTGTTGTGTGAAGGGCATCTTGAAGTAAAAAGGACACATGCACCAACATACTCACACCGCAGATTTGGACGCCTAAACAACAGAACACTCCCAAATTCTTTGCGGCGCACCTCACTGTTGTACTTGCTGAGATGTTGCTGGAAGATAGATATCTTCGAAACATCCATGGGTGGGACGCTGTTGCTGAGGAGGTTGTTGATGTCTGCGTCAGCATGCCGGTGCATGAACCTGAAATGATGACAGCAGAGCTGTCAATTACAACTGATCTAAAAGTTGTTTGCGTTTGGGTGCAAACAGCCATCTAAAAAGAACTAGGATGTCGTCTTCTGACCCCTTGACAGCTGGTTAGAATGTCTTGCAATTATATAATTGTGTTAAGGCACGATTTCTCGATCTCAGGCAGGGTGGCATCCAGGAAGTGCTTGGGGACAATCTCTTTGTACCGTTCCACGGCTGCCAGGAACCCGCCACACACCCGCTGGAGGTTCTCCTTGCACGGAGGCTCAACCAAGTTTGAGCTGATGTGGTGGGCGGTGTTTGCGACTGCTGGGAAAGCATCGCGGTAAATTTTATACCAAATCATTTCCAAGGCTCAACTTCTTTCCCCCAAGGTTTCCTCATTTTGATAGCCAATGCAACATAGTCTTTCTCCATTCGGCTCACCAGCAGCTTGGCCAATCCTTCAGTATTGGTAAGGGCCTTGCTCCAAGATTGAAGTGTTCCAGTACCCGAGCAGTAGTCGTTGTTGAACCACCCACTGGCAAGCGGTTCATGAGTCAGGAATTTTGGCATTGTAAAGCGCGCCACAAGCTCTGTCAGCGCATTCTTCACAGAAGGGGCGATGTTGCGCAAGAGGTTGACTGCTGCTCCACTTTCAGCAGCGCCAAGTTGGTACGCAGCGGCGAACTGTGCCACGCTGTCATAGGCCTCAACATGGACCCAGGCCCTGTCCCCAAAGTTACAAGGCTAAATGAAACCCTTCAAAATCCTTGAAAATCTTGAAAGATCTTAACAAACATCGGAAAACCTCACGACAAAACCTGGATAAAGCCTAGCCTGTAGCGAGGCAATGGAGAGCTCACGGCTCATGCCCGTGCGGCAAAGGAATTCCAGTTGGTATAGCAACGTGAAGGCGTTTGGCCGTCTTCGGATCGAGGCGCTCAAAGTTACGCCTGGAAAGGGGATGCATCCAATTTGTGGTGGTACTGAAATCTGCCACGTGAATGCCAAAACAACGCCCCCCCCAAAAA